ATGGTTGAGAATATCTTGGAATAAGACCACTCAGATAAGCTGCACGTGTACTCAGACGGCAGATTCAACAGGGCAAGAACATCAAGTGCTGTAGCCGTGTACATTCCGATTATCGGGCTAGAGTGGAACGAAAGGCTCTCGGCACCAGCGTCGTCCACTACAACGGAGATGGTTGCAATTGACAGAGCATTACGTATCGCCGTGAACTTGCCGCCAAGCAAATGGTACTCATTACAGACTCCAAAGGGGCGCTGCAGAGGATAATGAACATAGCACAAGGAGATCCAGCCACTACAGCAGCAAGGACAGCACTTGGGGACCTGGAAAAGCATGGAACTGAGACGTGGTTGCAATAGATTGCAGGTCACGTAGGAATAACAGGAAATGAAAAGGCTGACAATCTCGCAACGGTGGCTCATGGGGAGGCTCCAACCATTTCAACGCCATTGGATCCGGGACAAGCAGCACAGTGTATACTATAGCACTTTCTAGAAGAGGAAGATGAACTGGCGCTACCAAAAGGGGCGCTTACAGGACTGGCACTGACGGAAAATACCCTGCTGCGTCGCCTGCGTACGAGAACGGCCTTTACAAACAACTACCTGCAGAAGGTGGGAAGACGGCGCAGCTCGGAGTGCCACAACTGCCCATTCGTGGGAACAGTGCAGCAAGTCATTGCAGGGTGTCCCGCTTTTGACAGAAGCCGCGAAATAATGCATGGCAAACTGGTTATCGGAAGCAAACGGAAGACGGAAGTGCTGCTGTTTTCGCAAGGAGCAAAACGAGGATGCCGGAAGGTTTTTAAGGTGCTCCTACAGTTTCTTTGCAATATGGGACTCGCGGCGCGACTCTAGACAAGAGCAAGATGAACAGACCTGGAGACAAACAGCTCCAGGCAGGTGATCTACAGATAGCCTTTTTAAGGCTCGTCGCCTGCCAACGCCAGCGCAAATTGCTAGGCTTACCTACGGGACGTAAGACGAAACAAGATACCACCACCACCCAATAAAAATCAGTCGAGACTGCGCCTCGTTGTGTCCTGTCCTCCCCTCTGTCCTCGTCCTTGCTGCGCACAAGGTTGCATAAGATGCTTATTACACGAGCTCGGAGCACGTCGAACGAAAGCTCTTGCTGCAGGACCCAGGGATCCTGGGTTCAATCCCCAATCCTGCCTGTTTCAATATGGGTGATCACCATACCGGCGTGCGGTCGTGTATCACTACCGTGTGGTGCACGTTGAATGCCCCAGGCTAGCAGTCGTACTGCACTGTCTAAATTTCTCATATAGAGTGGGTAACAATATCGCCATGTTCTGGCAGATTTAACTCTCGCTGTGTAAACAACAAACGTCTAATTTGCTTGGTTTGTTTTTCTGATTAAACGCCACAGAATATATTACATCGTACCGCGTGTACTTCTCACTTCTGGTTCAGGAGAGAAAGTAACAAAGATTGGCGGGCTTAGCTCCTGTTGCAACCCACGAGGAGAGTCCAGAATAATTGAATGGTTATATCTTAATCTTAGGTCCTCCCTTAAACGATGTAATCAACCTCCCATTAAAAACTAAAATGAAGCTTTTTTTTTTTTTTACGTTACATTTGGGGTTTGCGGAGTAAATGCATACCCTTCGAATACGCCGTTCACGTGGACGATAAAAAGCCGATGAAGTCTTCTTCTAGTGCCCTAATCGAATCAAGGCATGACCTGCATAAAAGGTTTATAGTGGTTATCCATTAATAATTTAGTAGAACACCCCCTTATGTAAATGTCTTATATGCGATCGCATTGAGTAACGTTTAAGGTGCCCAATCAGCGACATAGTAAGTAGGTGCACGCTCAGCAATAAACAAATTATGACCCAGAGTTGCAAATAAAATCGTGGAAGGCTAAGACAGAATCGAAAAGTATATCGTAAACCCATCACCTTAACGGGCTTATCTTAAATTAAATTGAAGATTATCTTGAGATTACGACTACACGCCATAGGTGATGCAACATGCGACCTCAATAAAGCGATTAAACCAATATATTCATTCCGACGAGAACTCCTCTTTACTTGGGTTACTTTATAAGAGGACCTGCTTCGCCTTTTGAAGACGTGATTGAATTTCCGAGACCAAAACAAGATATTACTTTTCTCTTTGAGTCGTTTTCTCTCTGCTTTCAGTTTCCAATACACTGATATAAAGTTTTCCTGGCGTTGAATAACATATATAATTCGCTATAAAACTTAATTAACAGAACATGGGAATGGTGTTTCGCTGTAAACTATCTGCCTTCTGAAGGTTTGCATCCAGACGTGGACACGAGTTAAGAAGTGATCACTTAATTTTAGTAATTTAGCTAAACTCCGGTTGACATCAATGCACATTTTCGAGTATTATAATATCTCGCTTATATAACTCATCCTCAAGAACGCCGAGCTCAAACTAATGCCCAACATATTTTTTCCTTTGACATACTCAATATAAGGCTGATCACGTAGAATGTATTTAAGTTAGAATATAAATAACTGTGCTAATTAGTTGATCCTTCTCCGATGACGATACTTAGATCATATAGACGGAAACAAGTGGTTTATTATAAATATATTTGTTCTGAAAAATAATAAAGATGTTTTCATGTTGACCAGAAATGGCAGGCTTCTCAGCATGGCGTGGCTATTCAAACTATCTTATTACTACTGATGTGTGCTGAAAGCCAACTATTAACTTTTACACTAATGCAGTTACAGTGAAGTATACAAAAAACGCCAGGTATTAACTTCTTTGGTGGACTATACTATATAGTGCGATCTACTGGTACAGGGTACATGGTGTTATTTTGCGCTAAAAATAGTAACAAAAAAACTTCCGATAATTTTTTTTTTCTTTAGTATGCCGTTGTTGGTAAATGCTCTTGGCTACGAGTTTTTTCGTGGCTGAATCAAGCTTTAAGTGTAACATGAAAAATAAAAATAAATAATTAATCACCCTAATTCACAGTGTTAACTCTAGAAATGTCAGCTAGTCCTGGATATATGGGGCCTTTAATCAATTTATATGGCTGTTTTTGCGGAATTCAGTGCGAAGTTATAACCGTTAAGAAACACAAAAAAATAAAAAAAACGAAGACGAGTTTTGATGGTCCGCACCCGAAGAAAGGTCAATACATGGAGTGTTTCTGACGTTTCTGCGTTGTTCAGTTGCTCAGATCTGTTCGTGATTTCTCTCGGCATGCTCGACAACGGACGTACTGACACCTATTTGAAGGACGGGATTTCCACCACTCTCTTTCTGTCGTTGTTTGGTTTCGCGAGTCATCAAGGGCCTAAATTAGTCGCTAAATTGCATGAAACAAAATTTCGTTTTTTTTTTTTTTTTGTTTCCTGTTGCTTACTTAACTAGTGATATGGTTCATTCGGACGACATATTCAAAAAATGCTGGCTGAAATGAACATTTAGAAAGCTTATGAGTGAATCTTTGATGAATGCTTTTCTTCCTAAAAAGTAACATATATTAACGCTATCCTTAATAAATTATTTCACTATTTTTAGCGATTTCTGTTGAACATATTGAGCCCACGAACACACCCAGTATATAGGAACTTATATATAGGAGTTTAAAACGTACCCTTGCATGGCTCTTAGCTCTAACGCTTCTAATAAAAGTTTAAAATAGTTTAAACTGTTTTACAGTTTAAACTTTAAAAAAGTGACTCCCTAATACTTAAAAGAGAATGTTCAACAAATCTGATTTTTTTTTTTTGTATTATACGGAAAAAACATTTCCTTTCGATTTTATTCTTTTTTTTTTTTTTGCTTGAATATTACAGTGTACCAAAAAATAGAGGACACACTACACATAATTTTAACATGGGACGACGTACGAAAAGGGAACAAGAAACAAACACAACGACTGAATTGAGACGTGTGTGTTGGTTCCTCCATTCCCTTGTCGTCTCTCGTCTCCGGTTAGAATCATGTGTAATGTTAACCAGCTGGCCTGTTTAGTAGCCTTGTCTTCAAATAAACAATGCCGTTTTCTGCCTAAACCCCATTTTTGAGTAAAGGGCCGACTTGGCCGCCGTGCTGTCTACGGACAAAAATTTTGCATGCAAATTTTGCGACATGCCGAAGGCGGAATATTTTACACAAACGTGAAAAGATTTTGCCCAAAATAAAAAAATCTGAAACCGCCAAAAAATGATATTCATAATTGTCGCGAAATCTAATAAGGCACAGTGTGTACCTCTTATTACTTTTACTGAATGAAATCTAAACTTTTAAGACTCCTTGTAGTAACCCAGGCTGACTACCCTTAGCGGGATTCCAATCTTTCGTATGCGTCGAAAGAAACTAAGGAGGCAATTATGCGGAATACTAAAAGAAAGAATTCGTCGTAATCTCTACATTCGAACAATTAAGAATTGTTTTATAAGGTTGAAGTCTATTTATTGAGCCTGATAAAAACCATATTGTAAGGTTACGCTCTCTCCTTTGAGCAGCTGTAAATAGAATTGGAATGTCGAAGTTGAGGCAATGAGCTTGAAGGGTACCTTTTAAAAGCAAGCATCATGGAGTTTGCCACTCTGTGTCGTCCAGGAAGAATATTTTCAGTAGTCTCGTCCTGCCAATTACAGCGGTGCAATTGTACTCGCGCGAGTGTGTAGTTGTCCCAGTAAAGCCCGATGGGGTAAAGACCGAAGTAGGAAACCGCTTTTATTAAATGATGTATTCAGAGTTTAGAAAGCTCGCTCTGCCGGTCGCGAAGCCTATAGATGCAAAACCAGCGACGACCAAGTCAACCATCTCCGCAAAAAGGCTCCGCAGCACGTGGCTCAAACATAGTGTGCACTGGCCCCCCCGCACCACACCGATCGCTTTCAAGATATCCCGGTCGCGAAGAACAAGTGACCACTTCATTAGCGGAGCCGAACGTCAGTCTCCGGGATTGGCCGTCGTCCGTCACGTGAACGCGAGTCACCATCTCTGGCTGCTGTTTCAGAGCGCAGTCCGGGCGCTTCGCAGCGCTCCCTCCGACTCCGACCGGCGGTCGATGGTCGATGCAGCCGACGCAGCGGACTGGCTGGCACGAGCGCGTGCGCAGCGGCGTTCCTCGGCGTCCAACATGGCGATCGCGGGCAGCGGACGACCTTCGGACGGCGCCCTCCGTTGCTGCGCGCGTGCCAGGCCGGCACAGTGACGTCCTAGGCGCTCTTGCCGAGTTCCCGCGGACCCCGATCCCGGTCCGCCCCGGGCAGGCCTCGACCGTGCGGGGCGGCTCCGAACGAGGCCGCCGGCCGCGATGCCCAAGGCGGCTCAGCAGCGCACGGCGCCTCGGCGCTGGACCGCCGTCGCCGACGCCTGGGCCGGCCCTCCGCCGCGGTCGTCGTCGTCGCCAGGGCACAGCCGGGATTACCGCGGCCGTCGCTTCTAGGGTGAGTCGAGGACCGCGGCAGGTCAAGGTAGAGACCCATGGCTCGCCGCGCTGCAAGGTGCGGATGACCTTCCGGGAATCCTTTCGGGGTGGTTGAACGGTGGCCACGCATAGAGCTCTACGGTCCGCGGGTTGCTTGTGACCGCGGAAAGTTTTTTTTTTTTTGTTTTTTTTGTTACAGCTCCTGGTTTTAAAGACGGCTTCCCGTTGTCGCCTCCTTTACGTGACCTGAAGGCAAAGAGCAAGCCGGTGAGGATGTTTTATGAAAGTTCGAGACTTGACGAGGTACTCTAAGAGAATGACGTTGCAGTATTGTTATTTCACCGTGGAATACAAATGCGCCTGAGCTTGTAATTTCAAAATGAATAAAAAACGACTGCAACAAGAACTTGGTAGTGAGAGTGCTTTGAATTATTTGGCGTTCGCGGCAAGAAAGATTCTGCCTTTACGCGTCTAAGGTTTCAGCTTACGAGCTCTTGCACAATTGGGACCAATATGTCGAAAAGCACTGCGCTATGCCGGTGTTTGCATTGTGGGCTACTATAAGTAGAGCTATAGAGTTTGCGAGGTATACCGCTGTGTTATTCCATTCGATAACGCATCGGCGCTGCGATCGATCGTGGAGTCTCTATTAGTTATTCATTCAGCTACCTACTTAGCTATGCTTTGTGTCTTTGTGTTACACACTTCGTCATAGACGAACCGTTCAAGGATGCCATAATGATCGAAAAAATCTACTCCGAAACAAGCAAGAAATTCGTTGCTTCTTAAAACTCTACGCATTGTCAGTTTCGTTTTTATTACTAATACTCTTCTAACTTTGTATCACTATTCATGTTCAAATTTATTTTTGCGTGAAATAGATGGCGTAACCATTGCGTCATAAATGCATCATGACCTCATTTATCAACACGTTTCCCCGTTGCAGTACTTAAGGTAGAGTCATCTATGATCCATAGGCGCCACTTAAGAGCGAAAATATTGTCTAACAGCTAATAAAAACCTGCATTCGAGGCTTCTGCAACTACCGTTTGACATTCTAAGACTAACGCAGTTGAGGATGTCCCGAAAGAGGCTGCGAAAGAGAAGACTTTGAAAGCCATGTCTTGTTTTTACTGCTTTGGCGCTGCAGGGGCGAGGGAATATTTTTTCGGGTATCCAGAGTAGATGCTAGGGAAGCCAGGGGGGGGGGGGGGGAGGGAGGGAGCCGTTGTCACTCCCCTTCCTTGGGATCCTACGGGAAAATGACCGGGACCTATGCTCGAAATTCCAGAGCTTGAAACAACTCGTGAAACATATATATGCGCCTTTATAAAGACCGTTGAAGAAAAAAATGCGGATGCCTCCCTTTATTTTAGGACATGCGGACAACTATGTCCGCTGCAAATAGAGAAAACTAGCAGTTATTATTTGCAGTAATACGACATGCACGGAAACTCTCCTTGTTAATGTTGCAGATGATTGCTTTCAGTATAACGCAGATGTAAGGTTATATCATCCTCTATAAGATTTCACCGCCCTAACACAGCGAGAAAGCTCTTGCTTGAAATGCTGCCTTCTACCAGGAAACAGTGAACATTTATCTATAAGGCTATACTTTATAAATCAATGCGTAAGAAATCAATGTGCCAACTTGTTAATAAGAAACACGTGCACTCACTGAGTTATTAGGGTGTTTAATGCGACATCGCTTTGAGATAGCCTTGCCGTCAAAAACACCACAAGGGTCTGGCAGTTATAATGATGGCATTCATCTATCTGCGGAGTGTGCGCCTTCTGCTGGGTGTTGTACAGCTCAAGTGATATAAGGACGCTGAGTGCTAATAGTAAGGCTGGTGATATTCTGTTTTCTAAACTTTGTTAGGTGATTCCACCTAAACATCTACAAGGCTCTGCTGATTATTTTTTCTTTCTGTTTTGGTGGAGTTGTTTTGCGCTGCGGTGAAATGCCCAATTTGATAAGGGAGCTAGATGGTTGATTACAGACTTAACAAGCCAAAAAGAGAAGTACAACAAAGATTACACAGCAGTTGCTTCTATTAAATGTTTTTAAAAGAAAAGCCACTGTTGTACTATTTGTAAACAAAGGGTTTATAATTTTCCAGTTCGTTTAGTTAACCCGTCAAGGAGGGACAGACATAAATCATTAGCATACTTTAGAATCCTTCGATAAGACTCATCTTCCTTACTAGATTTCATATGCATCACGTATTTTATTTTGATTCTGTTCTACATGCTTTGTGGTTGTTTGCAGTATTGAAGTGAATTTCTTTTCACAAGGCTTTGCAACTGCGAGTTCGCCCTGTGCTGGTGTAACGTAACTCCGCGTTAAAATAACCTTTACTTCCTTTGATACTACGTACGCCCACCTTTACGATTCCATTCGGTTTCTTCCAGACAGTCCAAACGCTTTCCTGCAACGTTATTTGTGAATAGCAGTGTAGGAATGCAGTGTAGGACCTCAATAATGATCTTGATTTTACCTTTCTTCTGAAGCTATAAGAGAAAAACTCCAAACGGGCTCCTAATTAGTTTCTTTTATATATATAATTGATGTTCCTTGTGGCACAAGAGTTTTGAAAGTGGAGTTTCATGCAATGAAGCAACCAGTAAAAATCAAATGAACACAAAACTGAGCGCGGCTCAGTATTACGAAGAGAGACCAAAATCGAGAAGACAGATTTAAAGAGTGAAATTTGGGAAAAGTATCGAGGTTTTTACCACATAACTATTCAAGGTTGCTGACTTGTACCAGCAAGAACACTTTGGTGTTATTAATGCCCTCTACCGATGATCCAGGAGAGGCACGTGACACGTCCCCAGAGTTTTCTTAGGCACTCTATAAAGTGACAGAAAGAAGAAACAACACTCCCATATAATTCCCTGACCTCAGGGACCACTAATATAAGTGAATTTCTTAGCGCAGGGTGGAAGAGGGGTGGGGAGGGTAAAAACAAAATTCCTGAGAAATCAATGAAAAGCTTTCGCGGGGCAGCGTAAGGAACCGGAAGCGAGAAAACCGGAAATTACTAGCCTGAACTCCAACAATGGAAGCATTTTTCATTTCGGTTTAGAAAGATGGCATATTACGGAAAAAAAATATAGGCCAAAACGAACCGAGAACCTCGACTACAATGAGCATATTATGCCCCGAACAACAAAAGGCTACGAGATAGGGGAAAGTGACTTTGATCTGAAAGTTCAATATATGATAGTATTATGACGCATATCTTATTGGTACCCACAATTAATTAAAATATTTTAGACTCCTTCGATAAGACTCAACTTACACTCGGTCAAATGCAATACAAATCAGATAACCAATTTATAATAATAATAATAATAATAATCTTTATTTTTCGGGTGCCCTGAGACGGCCGAGCGGCCTTCTCTTAGGTACACCAACAATTTAAAACATTAAACGAATTAACAATTATAAATTAGTGAGCTTACTTACCGTGACGGTTATTTTCTCATCTAATGTCCGCCATGCCCGGTAAGTACACGGTGAAAACTAGATCCGTGCAATTATGACCCCTTTAAAACCGTGTGCTCGAATTAAAATTAATCGCGCCGTATATATTTGTAGCATCCAAGCGCTAGGCAGCCTCATGACTGGCGCGGCAAGTCACGCAAAGGTCACAGGAAAACGTTTGCTGTTTTCAAAACGAAACTATCTTTATCACCAAAATAAATAAACAAAAAATAAACGAATTAGCTTGTCGGAAATGACCGCCCATTACCAACACCGCCTCTGCCAATCTCCGAGCGCCAGAATCATCGCTCCGTCTTTTGGGGCCAACGTCACCCTGAAGACCACCTAGAGGGGGGGGGGGGGGGGGGGGGGGGGGGGGCTGGTTTTGCAGCGTTTAAGCGCTAGGGTACCTCATGTCTGGCGCGAATAGTCACGCAGAGGTGACGCAAAGGTCCATATGGCGCTCAAGCGAAAGACTGGCCAAAGGCTCTGAGACGGACACGAGCTCGGCCCGAACAGCTCAAGACCTGCGGTGACCATCTTGGCAGCAGGACGGTCATTTCGGACGAGGTCCTTCCTTTATTATTTTTTTATTGTGGTGATAAAGATTGTTTGGTTTTTAAAGCAGTAAACGGTCTTCCTGTCATCCACATGTCAACGCGGTGAATCCAATAGCTGGCAAAGCGCGGGCGAGCGATTTTGGTTTCTTGGGATGGCACTTATTTTAGAGAGGTGATCAGCACCAAGCATCGGAAATATTCGACATGATATATGAGTTTAGACGTTTCGAAGTGCAGTTCAAGAATAAATTCCACTTCTCTGGAGAAATGAATCACCTTGAATATGCCACAGGCAGCTTCATGCCGGAAAAACGCGGAAGAGATCGACTATAAGGTATCTTGACAGAAAGAAAGTATTCAAATGAAACAAAAAAGTCCAGAGATGGCAAAATTACTTTCAAGCAGTAATTCAATTACATTGCTAATTATGCTGATAAAACAAAAAATTTAAATAAATTCATTACGAATTACCGCAGACTAAAAGTTATCACATTACATTACAATCCCTTTTTAAAAGTAATGAAACTAATTAGACATTACTTTTCTATACCTTCAGGCAGCAATTCCTACTCATTTTATTTACAGTATATGTACCAAAACTCAGATTCTCTTTATTACATTGCGAGAGCCTTATGCGCCACAAAGTGAACAATACTGAGCAGTCGTTTTGCTGGCGCAAACGACATAATTGTTAAACATGATGAACTATAGCTTTTTCTTTAGATGTGATTCAAAAAAAGCCGACAGACCGGTTTCGCTCTTCATTCAATTGAGAAGGTTCCTAATGATATGTTTCCGTCTTCTCGATTGAGAAGAAGTTATAATCTGTGTCAGTATGTGAAGTCGGGCAATCGGAGCTCGTTCATACAAGGAGTCGTCACGTGAAACGTTTCCCTTCCGCCTCGGACGCAATCTAATCGAGCGCTAGTTGACGTATTTCCGGTCATTCCTCTCAAGTAGTCTTTT